TGAGGATAAGCGGATTAGGATGTGGATGCAGGGATGTTGAGGGCGGTTGTTATTTGGCTAAGCATGAGCCGGCCTATGTGCGGACTCCCGGGACAGCAGTTGTGACCGTAGCAGCTCGTCTGTGAGTGTGCTCGAGCGCAGAAGTCATTTTGGAGACTCTTCCAAAATTTCCACCTACACTTCAACATTCTTGTATGTCGGAGCAACGTGACATGAATTGCTTTCAAAAGGCATATTTACGACACATTTCTGGCCTCCTTTATTCTTCCAAATTTCTTCGTGATCTACAAATGTTCATTGTCCAGAGACTCGTCAACCATCCATCTGTCTGTCGTGTCCATTAGCCCTAAAACGCTGCCGTCAAACAAGGCCCTGGCCTCAATGTGTGTGTGCGTGCGTGCGTGCATGCATGGAGGAGTGTGTGCGCGCCGGATTGACCATTAGGGCCATTGATGAATGTGGCTGTCAGAGGGCAGACAATTAAATCAAATATGAAACAAAGTCTCTCCGACAGAGCAAGTCAGTGTTCCGCCTCACGATTAGCCTAGTACTCAATACTATACCACTCTCACTTTTTGCGGGTGTGTGTGTGTGTGTGTGTGTGTGTGTGTGTGTGTGTGTGTGTGTGTGTGTGTGTGTGCGCCCGCGTGAAGTGTTGCATGCTTGTTTATGTGCGGTGTAAAGTCAGTACAGCATGCCGTGTGTACATGCATCACTGCACATATGTAATTACATGTGTTATTGTGTGTGTGGGGGGGGCGGGGTTTGGAGACTACAGTTGAAATGCAAGCTAAAAAAAAAATACATGAGAAAATATTGGAAGTACATGTGCCAAGATGGATGGGAGTGGGTGAGGAAGGGGGCGAATGGGCCTCCAGTGAAATATTGCGATTCATGCATTAATTATTTTTAATTAACTGGAATGCATGGAAGCCAGCAAAAAATGATTGACATCATATTAAATTTAAAAAATACAGATTCTTAAGACAAAAGCCAATAAGCACAGTGTGGCAATGTTAAAAAAAAAAAAAAAAAAGAAAAATAGAAAGTGATGACTTGTTGGGGGTGGGGGGAATCAAAGTGTATTGCGATATGTGTGTGCGCGTGTGTGTGTGTGTGTGTGTGTGTGTGTGTGTGTGTGTGTGTGTGTGTGTGCGTTGAAAAAATTGGAAAAACTACAATAGGAAAAACTAGAATAGGAAAATACATTTAAAAAGAGCGACTAGTTTCGTCTCAACAAAATAAATTGTGTCGTGATACATGTGTGTATGGATGCACGCGTGTGTGTGTATGTGTGTGTGTGTGTGTGTGTGTGTGTGTGTGTGTGTGTGTGTGTGTGTGTGACAGCGATGATGTCATCACACTGGAACGTTTGGGAAAATTGCACCTATAATTACAAAACTTCAAAGAGGCTAACGGGGAGGGTAAAAAAAAGTTAAAATAAATAAGGGAGGAAAAAAAGATTGTAAGGAGTGAGGTCTGCTATAAAGATGTTTATGAGCGACAGTGTCGACGATGATGTCATCGCCCTGGAACTTCGCACTTTGAAAAAAAGCAAATAAAACAGAAGACGGAGGTGGGCAGACCTTGATTCTGAATGCAAACAAGCTCATCAAGAATGCGAGAGCAGTAAAAAAAAAAATGCTAAGCAGCAACATCCAGATCCTAACATGGAAGACAAAAACAGATACTAGCAATAAACAAAGAGTACAAGTGTAAAAAATACACGCTAGCAAGCCAGTCCTAAATCCTACCACACACACACACACACACACACACACCAAAGAAACGCTAGCATGCAAGCCTCACATGAAAATGTGATCGAAGGAGCTACTTGTGATGAAAACGATCTGGGGAAAATAACACCTAAATGACATTAAAACACATAAAAGATGGTCACACTTCTGCTTAAGAGTGAGGGAATATCACGAGAGGAAAAGAAATGCAAATGGATCCTCTGCTAGCTAGTGGGAAAATTGTCCCCAAAATTGAAAAGAAAAAAAAACCTACAGATAGGGTGGCATCGATACTAGCATGCTAACAAGCAACATAACAACACAAAAGTGATAAATAGATGAATGAGATCCAGTGAAGTAAAGGAGATGCTAGCGGAGGAACTCATCTGGGAAAATTGTTCATACAAACTAAAAACTTTTAACAATGGAGACTTTGATGCGAACCAGCAAGATTCCGATTCAAGCGTGAACAAGAGAAGGTTGCAAAGGCGGTCCGGATCTTACAAGAGAAAGAAAAAAAACAAAGATTCTTGCAATGGAAATCAAAGTGTGCATAAAACGAAAGAAAACTTCAAAGATGCAAACTAGTGAGAAAAGAGTAGCAGTAAGAAAAACAGAAGCGAGAAAGCGTGAGTGAAGAATAACATAAAAAAAGACATGCTAGCGAACGAGATTTGAATCCTATGCGACATTTACGTTTGTCAACTGGAATCCAACCGTTTACTGCCTCCGATGTATAAGTGACTCCGGTTTCCTCCCACATTCCAAAAACGTGCACGGTGGATGGCAAAGGTCGAAAATTGTCCCGAGGTGTTTGAGTGTGAGTGCGGATGGTCGCTCGCCTTTGTGTGCCCTGCGATTGGCTGGCGAGGGTATACCGCTCGCGACCCTCGTGAGGATACGCGGATGAATGCGTGAAAAGGAGCCAACTAACGCTGGCGTTTCCTGGCGATTATTAAGTATCAACTTAACGGAACCTACTCCATCCGGAGTCAACACCTTGGCTTCAGTGTTGTGTGAAGCTTTACGATAATTAGTAGTAGTGAAGGTCTCTCTGATGTCAGCTTCAGGGGAGAAGCCCTTAACCCACCCCCCTTTTTTTAGCAGTGTGTGTGCGTGTGTGTGTGTGTGTTGTGTGTGTGTGTGTTTACACACACACATACACACACGCACACACACACACATATATATATATGTGTGTGTATACACACACACACACACATTTAGAATAATATTGTGTAGTTAGATATGCGGAAAGCAATAATTTATACGGTCTGGCTCTAATTTAGCCGAAAGTTGTCAAGATGCGACCCGAACAACTAAAAGGCACCCATAGGAAGCCACATGTAGTGCTGATGAACCCACTCGGATCATGTTTTAATCCGACCAAACATCAGGACTATTTGACAACATTTTCACTTTTGTGGGGATTTGTGAAAAAAAGTGCCTCACTTTCACTTGACGATGAACATAAACAGGCAAAAAGTGACCGCATTTTTGTTCATTGTCTTTTTTTACATCTCCAGGCGACAGTGTTCACATACGACAGGCAATTCCTCAGTACATTTTTGCACAGAATCAACCGAAAATGACCCGATGGGCAGTAATGAAACAAACAAACAAAAAAAAAAGCCACCGCTTCTCAACATTTTAGGGGGAAAAAAAAAATCGTCTTTCCACTCGCTGATAGGAACACTCGCAAACTGAAGACGACTTCACTCTCTTTTTAACGGAGTCCAAAGCTGCGCCAAAGACACCAAAACGAGACCTGAATGCAGCCGCTCTGAACACCGATGAATTGATTTTGATCTTTTCAGGGTAGAGGGGGGGTTCTTTTTTTTTTCTACATATCTGCAGACAACAACGTTCACAAGCCATCACAACAGATTGTGAAGGTGATATGTGGCTTTCATTGAGGTCAAAGTAGTCCGAGAGTGACACTGGGAAGCATTCATCTCCCATTAGGCCAATCTGGTTCTGAGTACGGCGTCGAGCTGAAGCGGAGAGGCGGACCAGACCCTGGCCTGGACCCGTCGCTGTTCAATCACAGGGCAGTTACGGAGACAGACCGTTTACATTCACGGCGAGTGGGAACTGAAGTCATGCTGCCCGCACCCGTGCAAGGTGAAACCAGGAGACAATGGCTCCCCAAAAACTGACAACCCATTTTTTTTTTTGTCATCAGCTTGGGACATTCTTATGCCTGCGGACAAGAAATATTTGCCAAATGGACTCTTTGACTGTACGGCGTTGTTGAAAGCTGATGCGTCGAAAACGTAACCGCATTTTGTGCCAAGGAAGCCACGTTGGTCCGCTTTGAATCATTCACAGCGATGGCAGCGAAAAGGACTATTTTGAGCGCGAGATGTTGATGCTTTTGTTTCATTGGATAGTTGTGCCAAAGTGACACGATGAACACAAACGTTCCACCGACATGACCGCATTGGGCGTCGATGAACCCACTTGGATCAGTTTACATCTGCAACGGGTGGCTTTAATTTAGTCCAACGTTGTCAGAAAATGACAAAAATGAGCCGAAAATCACGAGCGCGTTCAATGATGATTTGGACAATTTGGGGGTCCCTTCTCGGCCCTTCAATGACACTCGTGTACAAATCGAGAATTTGTGGAGAAGCCCAATACATCCAGGCTCAAACAAGACGATCCATTTGGAATCCGAGGCTTCCATCGAGTGCAAAGTTGTCAGAGACACGGCGAACAGAAAAGCTTACTGTCGCGTGGAATTCAAAGTTGACCTCCAAACACTGAACCGTATTTAGCTCCATTGAAACCATTTCGATCCGCTTGAAATCATTTCACAGCGACATAGATGATGGACCGATATTGATCTTTTTTTTTTTTTTTCAAAATCACCTGCAGACATTTGAAAGTTGCCAGAAAGTCACTATGGACACAAATGCTGTCAACACCACCACAAAAAGGGTAAATCAGTCCAGTTTTCCTCTTTTGCAAAAAAAAAAACAAACAAAAAACAAAAAACCACGAAACTCGAAATGACACATCGTTCTGGTGGTCAAATGAATCAGGTATGAGTACGTTTCCCTACAATATCCCTGAGAAGTAAGTAAATGTTAGTTGGACATCGTTCTGGTGGTCAAATGAATCAGGTATGAGTATGTTTCCCTACAATATCCCTTAAAAGTAAGTAAATGTTAGCTGGAGGAGGTGACGCACACACGCACGCACACGCACACACACACGCACACGCGCACGCGAACCAGAAGCAAAAGAGCGGGCGCGTACCTGCGGCGCGCCGCGGCGCTTGCTGCTTCCTCCGCGGCATGTCGGCGAGTCTGGCCCCGGGGAAGGCGCTTCCTCTGCGGCCCCGCTGAAGCGAGGCTTCCCGCCGGCTTACACTTTCCACCCTTCGTCGGCGCTCGCTCGCTTAGGGCTCCCGCATCGATGGAGCGTGTGCGGGCTCGACAAATTATTACAAAAAAAAAAAAAAAAAAAAAAACAAAAAAAAAAGGTTGGGGGGAACCGGGGGGTGAAGGG